CTTAATGTCGGCAGTCAAGTCTGTACTAAATGTCGGCAGTCAAGTTTGCACTTAATGTCGGCAGTCAAGTTTGTAGCTGAGACTTAATGTCGGCAGTCAAGTTTGTAGCTGAGACTTAATGTCGGCAGTCAAGTTTGTAGCTGAGACTTAATGTCGGCAGTCAATTTTGTAGCTGAGACTTAATGTCGGCAGTCAAGTTTGTAGCTGAGACTTAATGTCGGCAGTCAAGTTTGTAGCTGAGACTTAATGTCGGCAGTCAAGTTTGTAGCTGCGAACATAAGTGTACGAGCTAACAGAGTTTGTTGTTTATATGTTATGGCTGATTAGCTGATGTTATGGCTGATTAGCTGACTTGTTAATTTTGTAAAACCTGGACATTGACAAGTAAAATTCAATTCCTTCAGCATTTGTGTGGTAAAAAAAAATATCAAAGTGTAGAAAATTCCCAAAACGCCATATTTCAAATGTTTTATCATCTATTTTAATTCCTGGCCAACTCTAAAATCAATAACAAAATAATTTATTAAATGATTTTATTTAAACGGTGTATCTAATACTATCCTTTCTAAAGTATTTACTAAATTGAATTATTTTTTTCCGAGTTCACCCCTGCGCCGGGCTTATAAAATACAACGATATATTTACAAATCTTGTTCAGCCAGTGCAAACTAGTACAATTGAAGGGCTCAGTAGAAAAAGTACTTAAGTTACATTTTTAAAAAAATGAGTTAAGACCGGTAAATTATTTGACTACCTCCCCTTAACCATCCCTGTAAATTTGGGCCATGGAAAAAGTACCGAAGTAGCTTAATTTGAATACTCTGCATCAGCTGTTTTGGTATTTCAATAACAATTTAAAAACTTTGCACTCATTTTTCTCAAAACTCTCAAAATACAATTAAGTACTTTTTCCACTGAGCCCTTCAATTGCAATCCCATATTTCGTGCAAACACAAAATATCAAGTTGTTTAGTTTTGTTATAGATATCATCTTCAATACTGAGGGGGGTGGGGTGTATAAACAAGGCAACTTATTTCATATCTATATAAACACGCCTCTATTTAAAAAAACAACATTCCGGTTTCAGGAATTCATTCTGGATACATTTCCTCTGGGATTTATTAATTTATATATTAATTTGCTAACGTCACTGTCAATCACTTTATGTGTATGAAATGTCAATATATCTAAATATGTTTACATGGGCACATGACAAGACGTTTCTGTAGATTTGTTACGGGCGTTGTCGACTGACCCACTACAAGACACCTCTTGATGTTCTTAAACTTAAAACAAAGGTGTGTGTCGGAGTAGTCAGTAAATAGCGATTACGAAACGTGTGTCAATTGATTACACGTTTTATGAAGATTTTCATTTGAACGCTGTTGATAAGTTTGGTTTACCCAATTAACTGACGCTAATTTATTGCTCTAATGAACTCCAGGCAACATTCCTCAGATTATGTTACAAAATGTATTATAATGAAGATCTACAGCATTTGCTTAAAGAAATGCATTAGAGACAAAGAATCTCATTTGAACGCTGTATTGTAATGAAGATCTACAGTATTTGCTTAAAGAAATGGATTAGAGACAAAGAATCTCTCATTCGTTGTTAATATTTTTACTTTTGAAGTGACGCGTTTAATTATTTGCAATTATTTTTAATGTATCCATCTAAAAGACAATTTATTTGATAAAGAAAGTAATCAGCAGTTATCTTGCTTTACAATTTAACGCTTGACTGCTAATGTTATTCGTAGGTTCATATGGGTACACAGTTTAGGTTTAAGCAGTATATATATATATATATATATATATATATATATATATATATATATATAACGTTTATATATATAACGTTTATATATATATATATATATATATATATATATATATATATATATATATATATATATATATATATATATATATATATATATATATATATATATTTATATATATATATATATATATATATATATATATATATATGTATGTATATATTTATATAAACGTTTATAATATAACTCTTTTTAAATGAAAGGTAAAACGAAGTCAATAAAACGACAATACGAGCTAGAATTTATATAGCTACAAATTAAACCTTAGTTCGTTTGTTGTAAACTTTAAAATATTCGCTTTTTCTGCTGGTCAAAGAGAGACAATCAAAATAATTCTTTGATAAAGGAAGTAATCAACAGTTACGTCCCTTTTTATAATTTATTTAAGGACCGATCAAGTACGTTTACACCAGTCCAAAGTTTAGGTTTAAATAAACAAAAAAAGAATAAAATAAAATGATTATTCAATGTACAGTTATTTAAACTATCAGAAATTTCCACTTAATTTGTAATTAAATAGTAATTAATTAGGTTAAAAGCCAACTTCCTCTTGACAAACGCTGATTTCAGATTGTGAAATCATCATTTGTATTTAAGAAGAAATAAATTCTGTTATGTAATATGAAGCCCATGCTTTATAACTGATTTATTTCCCGGTAGTAAATCTGGTAAGGTATCTTGTATTAATGAATTTCTATAACAACAGCCAATATGCCATTATATTTGGTTACTCATTGTAATTTGAAGTTGTTTATATGTGATCAAAACTGTGTTGTTTTGTTTCGTTTATAATAAGAAACTTTATAAGCTCTAACAATAACTTTATGTTCACCCTGTTATACTAAATATTTTTAAGCATATCTAATGAATACAATATATTTAACTTTTATTTGATGTCAACCTTTCTGTAGAACAAAGTTCAACCCCTGAGAGTGTTGGTTTCCATTTGTACACAACACAAAAATGTGAAGGCTATAAGAACTGATGGTAACAAACACAATTGTTTAGAAAATTTAAAAAGCCACTGTTTTCATCCAATTGTTTTATTAGCTGTAGTTGGACATAATGGCATCACTATGGATGGGTGAAGACAACAGTTATTGACGATGATGAAGGAAGATGATTAGAAGATGATAACGAAGATGATTAGAAGATGATAACGAAGATGATGAGATGATGAAGGAAGATGATCAATTTAACAATGGTCCTAGTCTGGTGACATCACATGTCATGCACTGGTCAACCACATGTCATTCACAAGATGTACACCGCATGTCAGGTATACTACATTTCATGTACTCAACATAACATGGCATTTACAAGATGTACATTGGATATGTAAAAAAAATGTGCAGAAGAAAAAATGGACATAACATGATTGGTTGAAAAAATGGACAAGTATACTGACATTTATGTCAATAAAATGGACAAATAGACTAACATTTAATAAGATGTTAATGGATCCTAAACTTTAAATACTTTTAGTTGAATGTATTGTAAAATAGATGTTAGTCTATGATGGGAGGTAATCTATTTAAGACTAAGTAACCAATGATATGACAGTGAATTAAATACGTCAGGTTGCCCTATAATGCCAACAGTTTATTGTCCTTGAAGGATGGACTGAGACAAGGAATCACTCAACAATCAATTTATATTCATCAATAATTCTTTCTGAGATAACTTCTATGTCCGTCTTGTTGGTTATTTCAAAGACATAATTTGTTTTTAATTTTAAAATTTCCATATCTGATGTGTTACATATTTACACATTTACAGCATTTAAGCTTTGGTGCCCTTAATTTCTGCTAATGAAATTTATCCTTTTATGATTTAGCAAAAATGTATTTATGCAAACCTAACAAACGTGTGTAAACTGCATCAATACTAATAACAAGGTAATATTCCTGTATTCAAGTAAGGAACTCAAAATTGTAACCTTCTCGGTGCATTGCTACAATAAAACTTCATTAACCTGTGGAAATGTTAACTTTTTAAAATGAGTCTGAATAAAATATAATTTGCACAATGTCTGTGTGAATAAATCTTTAGCTTAACATACATGTGTTATGTCTTGAGACATAAAACATGTATAGTTACATTAACAACTTTTTATTCATTACATTTTATCTTAGAACATGTTTTTAAGCATCACATTTAAAATTGTATAAGTAGGAATAGATTGATACATAATATTGTATCATTTTTGTTAAGACATTTTATAAATAAATTTCTAAATAATAATTCTGAATTTTATACTTTCTAATAGATATTAGAATAGTTAAATTCAAATCATTACTGCACTAAAATTTTTAAAAATAATTATAGTTTTTTTTAGTGTTAACAATCATGATGTGTTCCAGGTTTTTATGAATGTACGCGTAACACATAAACTATGTAACCTCTATTCTCTAGCCTGCGACAACCATACACAAAAATTAAGTAATATTCCCTATGATTATAACAATCATACACTTACAGTATATAGCCTTAATTCTTATGATTCTATCAATCATACAAACAAATTTAAGTAACCTTTTTTCTCATGATTGTAAGACACAAATAACTGATGCAACTTTGGGTGTAGAGAGGGAGGTAATGTGGTAGAGTGATGAAGTTTCTACCTGCGATGTAAGACACAAATAACTGATGCAACTTTGGGTGTAGAGAGGGAGGTAATGTGGTAGAGTGATGAAGTTTCTACCTGCGATGTAAGACACAAATAACTGATGCAACTTTGGGTGTAGAGAGGGAGGTAATGTGGTAGAGGGATGAAGTTTCTACCTGCGATGTAAGACACAAATAACTGATGCAACTTTGGGTGTAGAGAGGGAGGTAATGTGGTAGAGTGATGAAGTTTCTACCTGCGATGTAAGACACAAATAACTGATGCAACTTCGGGTGTAGAGAGGGAGGTAATGTGGTAGAGTGATGAAGTTTCTACCTGCGAAACTTTTGTTTTATCCAGCAAAACTAGGAGAGATGACGAGCCAATGAAACGTGAGCTAATGAGGTACACGCAGGGTCAAGGGTCATGCAGCACAGCTGTTAAACCTGACACAACTGACAAGTTTGGCAGATGTTAAACCTGACACAACTGACAAGTTTGGCAGATGTTAAACCTGGCAAAACCAGCAAGTTTGGCAGATGTTAAACCTGACAAGTTTGGCAGATGTTAAACCTGACAAGTTTGGCAGATGTTGAACCTGGTACAACTTGGACACAACTGTGATGTACAACGCTTGACCACAAGGTTTGATATTCATTATTTTGTTGGAGTGTACAAAACCCTGGTTTTAAACAGAAAGGTAAGCAAACAAAGTCAAACAGAAAGATAAGCAAACAAAGTCAAACAGAAAGATAAGCAAACAAAGTCAAACAGAAAAAAAAGCTCAACCAAATGGAAAATAAAAGTTGTACTGAGCAGACTTTGAATAAATAAGACAATAAATCATTTCTGTTAGCACTGAGATCATTAGGAATGATAAACAAAACATTATTATTAAATAGGCTGTAGGAATTTTTGTGCATGATGAATGGATTTGGTAACATCCAACATGTTATGTCTGATTTAAAGTATATTTTTTGTAAGATGTTTTATTCATTACAATTGATGTAAATTTGCAATTAATTAATGAATACAAATTAAATTAATTATTATTTCAAAATATTTATACCAAATATAATTAATAAATATCATTTACCTTGCTAATTGAAATTAATTTAGTAGATCATTGATGGAAACCATTTTAAAAACTGGCATCTTTATTTCTGATGCAAAATATTTTAGTATATCATTGATAAGGAAGCTTAATTCTGATGGAAATTATTTTAGTATATCATTCATTTGGAAGTTTAATTCTGACACAAAATATTTTAAAGCAGGTCTATAAAAAAGTCTTAAATTGTTAACAAATCTCTAGTAAAAATGTTAACATGTGGACACTGAAAAAAGGAATGTATTTTTTGTAAAAAAGTTACTGTAAAATGATATGCAGGTAAAATAAAAGCGCAGCCCTAGAAAAAAAAATTTAACCTCACAATTTACACATTATTTATTTAAGGAATGTCAATAGCAAAAAAATATTAACCTCAAAATTTATACATTATTTATTTAAAGAATGTCAATAACAAAAAACAATTACAGTAGGGCCTATTAATTTTAAATCACAAGTTTAAATGTTTCAATTCAAATATTCATTTCCCTAATTATAAATTCCCAATACCATCATTACCACATTTTTATAACCTAAACCAATTTTAAAATCTACTATAATACCAATTCAAATACACACTGAATATCCAAGTACATTAGTGATTTAGGATCAACTATATGCAGGGGCAGATAATTATGGCAAGAAGCTATAAATAGTATGACATTAAAATCAAAGTGATTTTCCCATCCTCCACTATGATGACCTATTTCTAAGTGCACTAAAGAAATGCCATTCTATAAATCTTTTCAAATGCAACAGAAGTGAGTTCTGTAGACACACAAAGGCAAGCTTACAATTCAAGCTCTCTATTTTGTTTATAAACTTTATCTTTAACATTTTTAGAAATAGAAATATGTTTGATACAGTCTGATGCTAACCAGTTGTTAAAACATTTTTTCTTGTTATGTATTGACCAAATAGACAAACCAAAAACACTTTTTCCCCTCCAAAACAGAGGCAAAAGTTTACAGGCCATTAATTTAAAAAGAAAGGATAGCCCTAATTAAAATATTTTATTTATTGAGACCAGTCAATGTGAGTGAGACATGCTGAAACTTTTGAAAACTTTGACCAAGTATCAAATACACAAGTATTTTAATATGATTGAAATTTAGGAAATTACCTGTAGGTATCGATAACAAAATCCCGTTTAATAAAATTTAATTATAATTTATACCAATTTTATTTTTACCTTATAGTTTCTACTAATTTAATGACTATCTTTGCTGTTTCTTTAAAAAAAAAAACTAATCAAATTAAATTTTATTATGTAGAAATATTTATGAATCAAACCTTAGATTACTATCAGCCATATGTGTTTGTAACTAGAGAAAATAAATTGATCACCAAATGGTTTGTATGTTTAAAAAGATCCCAGCCAATTATTTTTGTCTCTAAACAAACTAAAATTATCAACCAATCAGATTTTTGGTGAATTGGGTAAATAAAAAAGTATCAGCCAATGACTCAAGGGAACAAATTTAAAGTTAACTCTTGTATCTATTACAAATTTCTGTTTTAGATGAATGATAAATCTATGTGATACCTCCAAGTTTACTTGAAAACATTTAAAATTGTTTTTTTTATCCTGCAGTTTTGTAAATAACAATCTGTCAGAAACAATCAGCATGTGATTGCTAAAAGTCCCACCCACAAGTCCCACAACTCCATGTAAAACACATGTCAGGAAGTTTGAGAGTAAAATAATCAAGTGCTATGACTTGAATGAGAGCAAGTCAAGCCCCACATTTATAGTGAATAAAACAGGTCAACATGATAAGGGAAAAATGTGAATCTCATCTTTAAAACTTTCACAGTTCTAACTAGAACATCTGTAAGGTTAATTCACATGTCTAGCTAGTACATGAATAATGTTAACATTCTATGTTAAACAACTCTCACCACAAATTTAAACTCCAGGAAGTAGAGAACTACACAGCATCAACAGGTCAAAGTTCATATCCTTAGAGTGAAGAATAACACAGAAAAAGTTTAGCTCCAAATGTCCAACTTAGCTTCTCCTATATCCACTGAGAATCTGACACATAACCAAATGTTTGTAAAGTATTTTAGACAGGCCACTTACACAGTTGGTCAACTGGTCAGTGGCTTTGTCCTGCAGCAAATAATACAACTCAACCATGAGTCTTCTGCTGACCCACATTGGCAAAATAACAACAATCCCAGAACACATTTTGAAATAATTGTAGACGTTTGTTCATCCATCATTTCATAACTAACTAGTCATGTCCTAAATAATATGCTAGCTAGTGACTAGATGTGTGTCCTATGTCAGTTAAGGACTGACACGTGTCCACAATGTGTCCGTTCTCTGTGTCAACCATTGACTCACTGTGTCCTTGCCCACCCAAGTTAGTGTGGTCAGCAACTAACTAGCCTGACCTTTCCTGTACAGCTACCAGAAAGTCCTGTCCAGTCTGGCCCCTGATCCTAGTCTATCTGAGGTAAATGGTAGAACAAATTTGTCTTGCTTCTACACAAGGCGAAGATGAATGACTCACTTCACTCAATGTTGAGTGGCTGATGGTTCATGTTGGATGACTGATGATGTGAAGCTAGTGACATCAAGATGACTTTGAGAAGATGACTTTGAGAAGATGACTGAAGAACATAGAAGGAGGCTGGCTACCAGTGGGTGCTACTCTCTACAGACTTAGTTTTGTGTATAGCTGATGACACTGTTATATCGGAACACTCGTCAGAACTTGTGTCCGTCTCAGATTTCTGAGGAAAAAAAAAATAATTTTTATCACTGAGAAACTCATTGTTTGTAATATTTAAGTTTATTTTGAGTTTAAAAACAAAGTTGAAAACGAATCTACAATAGAACCATTGCCACCTAAATACTACCTGTTTTAGAAATGTAAATATTGGTAATAAAATAATAAGGACATACAACAATTATCACTAATATAATTTAGACAAATTTTAAAAATATAATCTAACAAAGGCAAACAGAAATTATCAATTATATCTATGGCTATACACTAATCTCCAACCCACCATCCTATCAGGGGAGTTAACTTTATTTTTCATCTTCTTGACAGTTTTCTCCCTGTCCGACAGACCATCTGGTATGTAGGTCAGTTTGGTCAGCTCAGCCTGCAGGTTTTCTGCACTGCCAATGGACAGCAGACCGTTGTCACCACTGCCATCTTGGTTGCCTGACCTGTCACTGATGTCCTCCTCTGAGAAAACACCTTCAGAGCTCAGGGTGGAGAAGGACTGGCGGCAGGGGGGACGACAAGGTGTCTCGTCATCACTCACCTCCCCTTCCTCTTCTTCAGACCAGGATTCTTCAGAGTGCTAAAGGAGACAAGAAAATATTTTATTTTTTTATTTTTTTTTATTTAAAGGGTTAGGCTCCAGAAACAAAATGGAAAAAAAAACAACTTAATATTGTGCCTTTTTTATTTGTTTATGTGTAAGTTAAGGTATTTAAGGGGAAATATTTGCATGCCTTATGTAGTACTTTGAAAATATGGTTGCCATGGCAATGACGGCCATCTTGAAAAAATAACTTTTTGTGGAGTTCTAAAATTTCATAAACTAACATATATATTGGCCATATATTGGTCCTTCATTTACTAACAATAATGGAGTCAGCTTGCTAGGTTTTTAAACAGAAAAACCGCAAGAAATCTATTTTTTCTTCAAATTTTCAATTTTTTTTTTTTTGTGTGGTGAAATCCTGTTAAATTTAGCATTGCTTTTAAAGATTTTTTACAATACCATATTTTAAAAATTCAAAAAAAAATATTTTTAGAGTGTTTTCTGAAGCCTACCCCCTTAAACCAAAATAAGTATTTAGAGTGATCTATTATTAGTTATTATTAATCAACAAGCACATATAATAATAATACAAAATAAATAACATTTAAAAAGTTGAATGGTAGTTGTCTGCTACTTTATAACAGATTTTTTTCTAAACTAGAGCCAAATAATTTTTAAACAAAAATTTGCAACAGTAGCAAATATCATCGTTACTACACACAAAATTTAACAAGTAAAAAAATATTTTAAAATGGACCGAGTCTTGATACATTTTCTAACAGTTTACAATACATTTTTTTAGTGTTTGATCAAAATATATAGTAAAACTACTTACTTTTCCAACATTGTTCAAACATAAAATTAAATACATTTTTGGTAGAATTTGTAACAATTTAAAAAATCTATAAGGGTAGTATTGATTTAAGATATGCTCAGGATAATCATTGTTATATTTATTTTCTGTCATGGTTAAAAGTATCAGTCTTTTAACTATTATTGTATTACTAGTGATAATAATATAGTATTTTTACCAAAAACCTTATTTAGCCTGAAAGAATAATTCCAATAGTGTTTGTAGAAAATAAGATTAATATGCGGCTAACGAGAGTCATTAATGGTAAACAAAAACTAATAGGCAACTACACCAAATTTACTAAATTTGATAAAAATAGCTGATTGTAACTTAAAAAGTGAAAAAGAAAACATGCAATAAAAATAAATAAAACAAAATTGTAAAAAACTTTGATGGACTGACCTTGGTGTTTCTGAATCTAACAGAGGAATTGTTTGGCTCCCTTTTGTGCAGGACACCGTCCACATTTTGTCCAGCTCTCTCCGTCCCCGCCTGGCTGTCCTCGTACCTGTCCTGACACCTGCCAGAGTTCTCAAAGATGTCAGAGCTTCTCCTCCGGCAGGACGGGCTCCTGTGTCTCCTGCTCATATCCTGGCTGCTGTGAACACGTTTGACCCCCGACCCCTGCGAGGTCATAAGTACAAGATGGTGGTTGGTGGAGTTTGTGAGAGTCTGTTGTGTGAGACTGGTGTTGATGGTGTCACAGTCGGTGTGTGACGTCGTCGTTTGGATGACGCCCGAGTTCAACTGTGAGCTAACAGAGTTCGTGCTGCTCTCCGGGAAATTTAAATTTTCATTCGAGTCTTTTTCTCGGACTGTGTACGTTTCATGACGTGACGAGTCAACATCCGGGGATGATTTCTCGCTTATTGTTTCAAGCGGTTGGTGTTTGGGACTAGACAGGAGAGATAAATCACAGGTGCTCTCAACATCGGCGCTGACCTGGGACGACCTTTTGCTGCTGCACGTGGCGTCACTACACCCGCCGTCGCAGCCAAAGCAAACGTCGTTGATGTTATTGTCTTTGAATAGTGGTGATCGCCTGGAGATGGGGGACCTCTTGGTGCTGTTGTTGGCGCTGGAGGTCCTGCTGCACAGCTCCTGACGTTTTTTGATGTTGTTCTCCATGTGTGAGATCCTCATCTCGCAGCCGTCCACCTCGTCCTCGCTCCTGTACTCCCTGATGGCCGTCCCCGGCCCCAGGTACTTGAAAGTACCGGGGAACTGCGGGTGCTCTATGTGGTGTAGACCAGCAGGGTTCAGAGCTTCAGCATTTCTGGCTTCGTGGTCCCGCGAGGGGGACTTGATGGGGGAGGCAATGTCCTTCATAGAGCCTCGGCTGTTATTGCGACGATGTCGAGACTTGCGCGTCCTCATCTTGGTGGGTGATGGTAGAACCAGCTCCGAGCTTGTTGTCATGCTGCCTTCTGTGTTTTTCATGGAGTCTGGTCTGTGGGCACAAAGCAACGATGGAACAGAAACTTAGGATTAGAGAACGTGTTGGAAGGGTTAGACAGGGGTAGATGCCAAGAGTAGAGAGGGGTGGTGACAAGAGTAGAGAGTGGTGGTGCCAAGAGTAGAGAGGGATGGTGACTTTAGAGGGGTGGTGACAAGGGTAGAGAGGGGTGGTGACGATAGAGGGGTGGTGACAAGGGTAGACAGGGGTTTTGACAGTGCTGGATAAGAATGGCGGTAGAGATAGATAGAGGTGTTTTTCTTTAATAATTATTTAATTGCTGCATTTGGGCTTTGGTTACAACAAATATGTCCAATTAAAATTATTACACTACTGAAACCAATAAAAGACATACATTGTATATATTGTACACATATATAAAGAAAAAAACGCTTATCAATTAATTACCAACACAATAAAATATTTTTCCGTACAGCCACAGCATTGAGAGAAAAAAAAACTGAAGGAATTATTCCATGGATCCAGAGTTCCACTGAGCAACATGGCGCTGAAGTTGTCACCAGATAATTTATACAGAGATCATAGAGCGGGACAGAAGAGGCCGTGTTGTGGGACTCAGTAGACATTTTTTTGTTTGTTTTACCTACACATTGTGTATGCATATCCTAATATAAAAAGGCCCCGTGCGCACTTCTCTCTCTCTCTCTCTTTCTCTCTCTCTCTCTCTCTCTCTCTGTCCGCAAAATATTTTCGCCGGACATCACGTCAGAATCGGCAGCGATATATGGATACCTTTATACGGACTTTTGTTGAAAATAATATGTTAGATGTTTTAAATGTATAACCACAATTTTATTTAAAGAAGAAAAATTTAAAAAAAAAACGGCGTATTCGAATGTAGAAAAACAATTTTTTTATGCAACAGGAAAAGCATTAATAGATGTGAAAAAGAACGCATAAAACTGTGACGTCACTAATGTTTATACATTAACTAATGACGTCATATGCCGTGTTTAGAATAAAAAGAAATGAACTATTTCATTCAAATTTGATTTAGATCTACGTACACTATGAAATGTATACAATACAATTTTTCCGGCCTAAACTCACAAAATTCATTTGGATTCTAGATTTAGAGATTCTAGATTGTAGATCTAGACTAGATCTAAATCTACGCAATAACTAGACGTAGACGCTAAGATCTAGATTCTAGATTAAACTCTAACTACCCTAGAATCTATTCCAAAAATAAATTTCTATATTAGGCCTAAACTATTTCAAGACTTAATTATTTTATAGTGGTGTGGTGTCATCCACCCGCCTCTAACACCCACCAGTGTAGATTCTTAATCACGTGACTTTGATTACTTGTCAGCTTAATGAATCCACTTGTTTTCAATGTTACATGCAGGGTGTTGTACGTATCTTGGTCTACTGGATATCTACATCAAAAGATACGGACTGGTTAAACTTGCTACATTAGAACAGGAATTTGTGTGAGGATTCTTTGTCATGTGTTTATAAATAGTCGACTATAAATACTCGTCTCTTGTTGAACATCGTGTGATTTTAGACAAAAATAGAATTTGTCTTTAGGAAAGTGTGTAGTTATGAGTTGAGAAAAATGACATTTTGGGATTGACGAAATAGGGTAGATAACTATGGAGGCTGCGAGGTAAGATTACCATTTTAATTTTTGTATTATTATTAAATTTGGCTGAATGTATAAGTTAAGTAGACTACTTTGTTGAAATTTGTAAATCATCTAAACTAATACTCGTTTTTTTTTTTAAATGCTCATCTACATAAGTATGTTTGATTTAGTAGTAAAAAAGCTTAATAGGCCTACTTTTATAAAAATAATCCTTTCATTAATGAACACCATTAACACAACACCATAAAGCTAATTAAACGTATTTATGATTTTACTACAGTCGTGTGCCAGGCATGTTTCTTCACAAAATACGAAAACTTCTTTAACCCAGTCATTTCCCTGCTTGCAGCTCATTCGCCATGCAAGAGGCCGTAGAGGCCGCTGTGTTCGAGATTAAAGTTTCTATTCTTGGCGACTCAGACGTCGGTAAAACATCGATTGCGTCATCGTTTAACACACAGGCTCCACTGCTTGCTCCAAAGGCAACTATATGTGTGTTGTCAATGTGTGTTGTTGGTGTATGTGTGTAGTTGGTGTATGTGTGTAGTTGGTGTATGTGTGTAGTTGGTGTATGTGTGTAGTTGGTGTATGCGTATAGTTGGTGTGTGTGTGTAGTTGGTGTATGTGTGTTGTCAATGTGTGTAGTTGGTGTATGTGTGTCGTTGGTGTATGTGTGTTGTCAATGTGTGTAGTTGGTGTATGTGTGTAGTTGGTGTATGTGTGTAGTTGGTGTATGTGTGTAGTTGGTGTATGCGTGTAGTTGGTGTATGTGTGTAGTTGGTATATGTGAACTATATGTGTGTTGTCAATGTGTGTAGTTGGTGTATATGTGTGTAGTTGGTGTATGTGTGTATTTGGTGTATGTGTGTAGTTGGTGTATGTGTGTAGTTCGTGTATGTGTGTAGTTGGTGTATGTGTGTAGCTCGTGTATGTGTGTAGTTGGTTTATGTGAACTGTATGTGTGTAGTTGGTGTATGTGTGTAGTTGGTGTATGTGTGTAGTTGGTGTATGCGTGTAGTTGGTGTATGTGTGTAGTTGGTATATGTGAACTATATGTGTGTTGTCAATGTGTATAGTTGGTGTATATGTGTGTAGTTGGTGTATGTGTGTATTTGGTGTATGTGTGTAGTTGGGGTATGTGTGTAGTTCGTGTATGTGTGTAGTTGGTGTATGTGTGTAGCTCGTGTATGTGTGTAGTTGGTTTATGTGAACTGTATGTGTGTAGTTGGTGTATGTGAACTATATGTGTGTTGTCAATGTGTGTAGCTGGTGTATGTGTGTAGTTGGTATATGCGTGTAGTTGGTGTATGTGTGTAGTTGGTTTATGTGAACTGTATGTGTGTAGTTGGTGTATGTGAACTGTATGTGTGCTGTCAATGTGTGTAGGACATAGTGTAGCGCAGTTTGTAGAAATTTAGTATAGCGCAGTTTGTAGAAATTTAGTATAGCACAGTTTGTAGAAATTTAGTATAGCACAGTTTGGAGAAATTTAGTATAGCGCAGTTTGTAGAAATTTAGTATAGCACAGTTTGTAGAAATTTAGTATAGCACAGTTTGTAGAAATTTAGTATAGCACAGTTTGTAGAAATTTAGTATAGCGCAGTTTGTAGAAATTTAGTATAGCGCAGTTTGTAGAAATTTAGTATAGCACAGTTTGTAGAAATTTAGTATAGCACAGTTTGTAGAAATTTAGTATAGCGCAGTTTGTAGAAATTTAGTATAGCACAGTTTGTAGAAATTTAGTATAGCACAGTTTGTAGAAATTTATTAAGCACAGTTTGTAGAAATTTTCCGCTGAGAACTTTTATAACTTTTTATTTTAAAAGAAAATTTTTTTGATCTATTTTGATCTAACATCTATTTTATGTCCATCATCCAGATTAAATTGGTTGTAGCCAACATATATATATACTTTAATTACATTTCCTGTAGTTCTATTGGTGCAGGTATTGTACTTAAGTTGTTAGAAGTTGCAGCCCATTGAAGCTACAACACTGAGTTAATAACAGAAAAAAAAAAAATTTACAAATTATGGAAGACCACCAGGGGCAAATGCTGATGTCATTTTGATCACTTTTGCTGCCATTACAAAAACTATTCCTTTTACAAATAAAAATTTCTTAAATCTATATGGCAATTTATATTTTATCAATAGGTAATAGTGATAAGTGGGCATCTCATTTTTAAGTTGTGAACTCCAAATTGTCCAAATTAGATAGTTG